TTTTTTTTTTAAAATAAAAGTGATATTAATGATATTGTTAAAGAATCAGAAAATATGCGACCGATAAAAACATACATAGTGAATCAACACTTCCTTCCCGAGATGAAGAGGACGCGTGTTCTTCACTTTCTAATATATAATAAATAATATATTATAAATTTAGGGAAAAAAGAACATATTTTTTAACAAAAGGAAATTATTAAATACCTTGAACCAAATTATTATCAAGGCTTGATTTTATTTTATCTGATGCTTTTTTTTTTTTTTTTATAAAATAAGGAATTAAGAAATCATAAGAAACCATTTTCAAAAGTAACTAATCTGTTAAAAATCTTACGTTGCTTAAATTCTTCAATTCCAGGTTCAAAATAATCTTTTCTTACATGATTAACTTGTTTAATCAAGATACCGTTAGTACCGCTAATACTAGAATCACTTTTATTACCAATCGAAGAATTATAAATTTTTCTACTATTATAATTCACTTGATGTTCTTTCTTCCATTGTTGGATATTAATATTTTTACAATTTGATCTAGAAAGTTGTTGCAAAGAAGCATTTTTAAATGTTGTATGATAAGAATTTCTAATGAAACTACCCGAGGCTCTATAAGAATTTCTTAAAGATTGTGACTTCATAGTGGTCACATCGATATTTGAATTCCAATCAAAATCTTTCCAAGCTTTCTCCGGATCATCATCAACAATCTTATTTTGATCATTTAATAACATAGAATCTGGTTCTTTTAAAACCTTTCCTTGAACATCCTCTTCCTCATCATCAGAATAATCGGAAGTAGCATCTGATTCAAACTCTTCATCTTCCTCAGCAATCTTTTGTTTATTTAAAGAACTCTTATCTTTTTTCAACTTATTAATTACGTCTCTTGGTAAAAACATATTTATTTGATCCTGAGCCTTTGCCAATTCCTCGCCGTGTTTTTCTAGCTCATTAATCATTAATCTTGTTTCGGGACTAAAATATGTGTCAGCGTAATTTGTGGACAAATGAGAACCATTAAAACTAGCACTTCTCATATTGAAATTGTTCTCTGTACCTAATTTTCGTGAGTTATCATCGAAATAATTCGTCGAATTATTTTTATCATTAGGTAACTTTGGTAAACTTGAACTTTTAATTAATAGAGTTGTTTGTCCTTGAATATCTTTCAAAGCCCTAAGTTTTTCTTTGAATTTCTCAGATACTCTCGTTGGAAACGTTATAGGAGGTAAACCTTTCAAAGGTTTTTTGTATATCAGTTTCAACGCTAGAAGTTTCCATACTATCCGCTTTTATATAAAGAACTTTTCTAAATAATATACAAGCTACTAAACTAATAAAAATAAATGCGGTCTTTAATGAAATATACAGGTTTTATAAATCAAAAACAAATAAAGATGATACAGTTATCTAATATTGGTTAAAAAAAAAAAAATTTTTTTTTGTTATCTTAATTTATATTTATATTCAAATGTCCCCTATGTACGACAAAGTTAAGCACGTGGTAGGTACATACATGTAGAACTTCAGCGGATTCGTTTCACTATTTTCGGCTGATATCTCAATAATGTTGAAGAAAGCATATTATCCAAATTTCAGGTTCAGGTAAAGTTAACTAAATGCAAAAGGTTGCGTGATGAAACCAGGCTACGATATTACCAAATATGATGACATATATCAGCTGTTTCAAAGCAACAAACGTATGATTCAAATCACCTGCCTTTCAGAAAAACTATGGCTTTATAGAAATCATTACTCTGCCCTCCCTATTTTTTTCACAACACGTGTTATACAAACTATGAAGGAACATCTTTTAGAATGAAAGATTTAGGTGGGAAAATGCATTCATTCAAACCCGTATTATCAAATCCATATTGGTAGATCTTTCCTGAACTTCTTTCTTAAACTATACTATTAATTTGAAATCCTTAAATTCTTCGTTGGTATGGTGGTTGTCACCTATAATCGACACAGTCCGAAATAGAGGTTGGAACCGGTTTTATTTTCACAAACCGGTTTTAATCACTTTTTTAATTTGAGACCCGGATTTAAACCGA